GGGATTCAGTTTCATTTTGTTGCATATGGATTTTCAGTTTTCCCAGCACCATTTGTTGAAGATGCTATCCTTCCTCCATTGCATGCTTTTAGCCCCTTTTTTTTTTAAAAAAAAGGCTTTTGTTACAAGTGTTAGCAAAAATGTAGAGAAAAGGGAATCCTTGTATAATGTTGGTGGGAATGTAAATTAGTACATCCCTAACAGTATGGAGGTGCCTCAAAAAATTAAAAAAAGAACTACCATACAATCCAGTAACCACACTAATGGGTATAGAGCCAAAGGAAATGAAATTAGCATGTCAGATAGTTATACTCCTGTGTTCACTGCAGCACTATTCACAAGGGCCAAGATATGGAATCAACCTAGGTGTCCATCCAAGGATGAATGGGTACACTTACACAATGGAGTACTATTTAGCATTATAAAAGAAGGAAATCCTATCATTTGCACCAACATGGATGAACCCAGAGGACAATATGTTTGTTTCACTAATAAGCCAGGTATAGAAGCACAAACACCACATCATCTCACATATATGTGGACTCCAAAAGTCAAATTTCTATAAGAAGAGAGTAGAATGGAGGTTGCCAGCTGGTAATATTGGGGGGTGGGAGTGAAGATGTTGGTCAATGGGTACAAAGTTTTAAGTGGACAGAAGGAATAAGATTTTGAGATGTATTGCTCAGTGTGGTAACTATAGCAAAAAAAAAATAACATATTATGTACATCAAAATTGCTAAGATAATATATCTTAAATGTTCTCACCACAAAGAAATGCTAAATATGTGAGGTAATTCAATTGCTTAATATACATCTACATACACATACTCGTACACTGTAAAATGATATATATACATACATATGTATATGTATATCATAGCCGCACATTGTATGTCATAAATGTATATAGTTGTTACTCATCAAAAAAATTTAATGAAAAAAAAGAGATAATTTTCTCTGGTTGATGGCAGAAGGGTAAGTCAGAAAAGTTGAATCTTTAGAAGTACAGTGCTGTAATAGGTATCAAAACATAGGAACAGCTTTGGACCTGGGCAGCAGGAGGAGGTAGGAAGAATTGCAAGGAGCAGGCTAGAGAAACCTTGTTTCAGTCTTTATCCCAGAGACTGATAATGGATCTGCTATGGTCAAATCCCTACAAGGAGCATTTCTATACAGAAGGATACTTGTATGCCCTCAAGGTTCTGCTCCTCTGAGAAAATCTAGGTGATTTACGTGAGGTTGGCAACTGATTCAGTGCAGGAGGCTTTGAGATCTTTAGAGAGATACAGAGAGGCATCAGCTCCTATTCCAGATGCATGGTAGATGTACATGAAGCTGGGTCGGCTGCCATTGTTTTGAAACCCTTAAAGGAGACTAGCTTTGGGCTGAGACTGGCTCTAGGGGACAGAGAGAAAGAAATTTGTCTCTGATGGCAGAATGGAGTCATTTGACTAAAACCAACCCTGGGCTCTCCCTTGGTCTTTCTGGATGCATGAGCCAATACATAACTTTTTATCATTTCAAGCACTTTGGATTGACTATTTGGTCACTTGCAAAATGTCAACTGTTGCTCCAGGAACTTTATAGAGGTGGCATCTTAGGGAGGCTGGCCACTCTGGCTCACACCCTCAGTGAGAAAACTGGAGTACTTCAGATCCTCTCCATCTGATGCTCAATATTTGTTCCTATGAATATATTTTATCATGTAAATAGAAGCTAAACTATCTCTCTAGGACCTAAATAATGATAATTACAAGAACCAATGCAAAGGGTGAAGGTCCCATGGACACCTGGCTCTGAACACTGTTGACATCAGGGAAGAGAACATTTCTATACTGTTGATGCCACAAGGGTCCCAGGAATATGTTCTGGGAACTAGACCTAACCCCACCTGAGTGGATGACCCCACCCACTCATGCCTGCCCCTTGGGTGAAACTAGCTTTTTCCTGGATGGATTTGACTTGCTGTGTGCCAACCTCCCCATGCCTCCATTCTGTCATTTGTCATGCCCACAGTGTATTTTATATAGACATCTGCCATGGCCCCAATCATCCCCCACAAAGGATCCTCTGAGCCCAGTGCAGAGCCTGGTGAAGATGGTTAGTATACATTGCTGATTCCGTCAAGCCCTGACCCAGTGGATACTTGATGCAAGCTTGGCCTGAGCTGAGAACAGACTCTGCTTTCTGCACATCAGTGCATCTGCCACTGACGCCGCCAGTTCCTAGGAAAGTCGGGTCCTGCAGCCTTGTGAGCCTGGTGCTTCACAAACACATAGTTAGAAAAACACTCCTTGCCCATGGGGGAGGGGTGGGGAGTGCTCCAAAGAGAACCATTGGAGCCCGGGCAGAGTCCACCAAGAGAACAAAACATCTCAGTAAGAAGCATCACATGGGATGACGTAGACTAGTTTATTTTTAATGTTATCACTCTGAAATTACTCTGGCCAAAGTTCCCAGGCACAGGGCAGCTGCGTTATCGACCAAGAGGGTTAATTCCAGGCACAGTCACAGCCCAATCTCACTGAATACATGTTTTATGAAGCCATAGAGTGTTTAGGTTTGAATATTAGTTTTATGGACAGGAGACCAAGTATAGATTTTGCTTCTAAGTCATTTGATCAGATTGCTTAGCTGCCCAAACCCCATGTCCCTCATCTACAGCAAGAGACTAATGTGTCTCAATCCCACATGGGAGGCTCAAGAAAGGGGTATGAATCTGCTCAGGAGAATCCATATTCCTGGAGTGAGATGCCAGGTGGGCTTGTGGGGGCTGGTGAATTCCTCAGCTATGCTTGGTGGCTGTTGTTCTTTCCCCAGCAGTATTCATTCTATTTTCTGCATATCTTAGGCTATTTGCACACCATCAGGTGGGCATGCCAGTTCCCACCATTTGTGGACAAAGTGACAGGCTTTGAAAATTATCATCCATCATGCTTTCATTTGAAATTATTTGATAAAAGCAAACTTATTTGAAGGGGTAAATTTCAAACAAAATGTCACTCAAATAATGAGTGCAAATGCAGTTTTAATAAATGGTATCATCTAATTAAGAAAAAAATCAGAATGGTACCTACCTATGAATAATGACAAAGCTACACAAATAAAACTAGACCTAATCGTTTTAAGAATTGCTGTTTTCAACAATTACACAAAAATAACACTGGGTCTACTAGAAGGGACAAGTAGGGGTATTCTGGGGGAAATGGGGCAGTTGGGAACGAAGACTGAGGATGTGATGAAGGAATGAAGGGCCAGGAGGAACAAAAGAGTCCTCTCTGATAAATAGCAAAGGGCACAAGGCTGTGGTGCTCAGGACTCTGCACCCAAAGTCCAAAGAGCTGAGAAGATGAGCCTGGGGACCTGGAGGGCTGTTGGCCCACCTGGAAAATGCTCTCCCAGGTTTGAGACATGAAAAACCCAAGAAGGCACCCTTCCCTTCTCCCCTAAACTCTCCATCTCGAACATCAGGATCAATATTTTGGGTTCATTTACTTCACTGGTATCCATCACCCACCCATTGTGCCCAGTAGGCAGCTTACACACAGCACACGGAGCTCGGTACAGGACTAGAACATCCAGCACAAAGGCAGACATTTCCACCTGCCATGGAGAGCAAGGGACAGGACTGACTCCAACACCCCACTTGTCCTGTCCAGCAAGCAGGCAGAGATGGTCCACAGGCCTGGACCAGGTGAAGTTCAGGGAGAAGACACACATCACACACATACCTGGACCCGGGTGATGTGCAGGTAGAGGACACAGGCCACCAGGAAGCAGATACAGAACACCAGCAGGAGCAGGACAGCCACACTCCTAGAGACAGAGGACATGTAAGTCACTGCTGGTCAGAGGCCAGGTGACATGAACCCAAGAGATATCTGAAAATCAGTCCTTCCTACCCTCCCTCTAAATCTCCTCAGCTCTCAAGATGAAGCAGTGTCATATACCAGGTTGTCTGCCCTCAGATCCCTGGGGATTTGCCACATCTGCTACCTTCAAGGGAGGCATCTGTGGCTCCCAAGTAAAGGGGTCTTTTCTGAGTTATCCTCGACTTGCACCACCTCGTCTCCAAATTCTAACCTAGGCGGAGGGACATAAACCTTTCTGAAAGCCCTTTAGTCCTAACAGAAGCATAGGAACTGCTCACACAGTCTGGTGAGCTGCCCTTCTGCTGGGCTTTGTATGGGAAGGACATTTCTAGAAAAAGCTAGATTCCCAAACAGGAGCCTTGGGTAGATCACTGTGTCCAGAATCTGTGTGCCTCCCACAGATGAGGCCACCTGTCCTCACCAGGTATGAGGACCTTCTGTGTGTTTTTTTGGGAAACTCAAAGAAGATATTATTCCCCCCTAGGGAGGTTTTATAAAGAAACAGGTATGTCTGGAAGAAAAGTAACAAGCAGAGACTTTCGGGTATCTTCCTCAACCAAGAAAACCTGCCAAACTCACATTGACTCATATGATAATTAGTATATTTTTCTTCCTTTTCAGAACCCTCCTTTTCTCATTTGAATGTTTCTAAAAATGACATGAACCTAGAAATCAGTGAGGCCATTTAGTACGCTCTGCTTCCCCCTTGAAAATAGTTATTAGGGCAATGGCACATGCCACAAGGATGCAGAACCTGTAAGTATGTGGTATATGGTGTCTTAGAATTCAATCAGTTCAAAATTAAAAATCAACAGTGACCAGTCCCAAGCTGTATGCCATAAAGCTTGCTAAACTAGTGACTTAAATAAATGGTGGTGGCCAATGTCTTCTCCTAATGCTTGGCATGATGGAAGAGTAACTAGAAGGTGAATCCTGAATGTAAAAAGAACACACAGCCACCAACCTCAGGGACCTCAAATCTATGTGCATACCAGATTTTT